AAAGTTTTTTTTTTTTTTTTGAATTCATACTTTCTTCAGACTTTTGAATTGTAGTGTGTCACGGTTTCCACAACAATATTGGGCAGCACAACTGTTTTCAACATTGATAATAATCAGAAATGTTTCTTGAGCAGAAAATGAGTATATTAGAATGATTTCTAGAATGATCACGTGACACTGAAGACTGGAGTAATGATGCTAAAAATTCAGCTGCACATCACAGAAATAAATTACATTTTAAAATATATTCACATAGAAAACAGCTGTTTTAAATGTAAATAATATAACACTTTTTATTGTATTTTTGATTTAAAAAAAATGCAGCCTTGTTGAACAGAAGAGACTTATTTAAAAACATGAAAAAACTTAATTATTCCACACTTTTGACCAGCAGTGTATATTTGTATATATTGTAATATTTTGTTGATGCTGCTTGCTGCTGCTGCTTTATTAAAGAATTTCTCTTTCTATATGTCTATTTTGCGTTTTTCATAGGGAGATTTCACCTGTAAGAAAACGGCCGGTCATAATTTCCACATGCAGTCGGTTTCCATTCAGGGTCTGTCGGAGCTGGAGAGAGTCCGGCTGCAGGAAGTCGCTCTGGTCAGACTGATGAAAGACTTCGATTTGGGATGCCAGATCACCATCCCCAAAGGTACACAGAGACTCACATTTAAAAAAAATAAGAGACGTCTTGAAGTGTCATTGGTTTGTTTGTCTTAAAGTTTTGTAGTTATTTTCTGTTCTGTTTCTGATGTTTTGTATGCAATGTCTTTTCCAGATGGTCAGAAGCGGAAAAAGTCACTCAGGAGAAAGTTGGATTCTTTATCGAAGGAAAAGAGAGACAAAGGTATGCATTTGGTTTTTAGATATTTGTCATCATGCACATCTAGAAGTTAAAGCTGCAAGCTGACCACTAGAAATAAAGGTCAAAGCTGATTTCTTCGATTAGATATGTCTGCTTTTGTATGACGAATTAAACATCTTAATGAGATCTAGAAATACTTTAAGGCTATAAAAGCTATTAAATATCTTAAATGGTGTAACAAAAGTCCTAATTATCTTTTTTAAAGGTCTTAAAATTGGGGCTAAAAAGTTCAATATGGTAATGACCGACTTTGGGATCTCGCTTAGAGAGACCAATCCACTTCGAGTGCGAACTAAATGAGCCAATGCACATTGGCATGCAATGATTGCATCCAGCTGCCGCTGATTGTGGCGAGAGTATAACTAGGCAGCAGGTGCAACACATACTCAGATTTTCACTTCGGAACCGAGCGATCACATCGCTTTGCTCCTGACTACTCTACTGAGAGAAGAAGACTGAACTAGTTCAGCGCACTCTTTGGAGCTCTTGGTGTTGGTGGTACGGCGCTTCAGCGGTGGTGGTTTTCCCGTGTCGAGTGGGTTGCACACATCAGGCTGCACTACCCCCTGTTTGTGTTGCAGGCGGCCATCTCCCCTGTGCGCTTCAGCATGCTAAAAGAGCTTTTTCCCTAAAAGCATTCACGGGTGCGTCGTTTTAAAGATGACGTTGCGTCTTGCTACAGACAACGTATCACCCGTGCATTTCTGGATGCGGTCGTTACTTGGTGTCGGGTGATGGTCACGATCGCTGCCTCACGTGTCTGGGCATTAAGCGCTCTGAGGTGGCATTCGTGGATGAATCATGTTGTCATTGCAGGAAGATGACCATCTCGGAGTTGCGGGCCAAGCTCCGTTACCTCAAAAGGGGCGGAGCTCCATTGCCTCTGCCTCAATCTAGTTCTCGTCATGGCGGCAGTCCGGCGGGGGCTACTTCAGGCAGTAGCACGGACGGTCTGAGGGTAACAGTGATGGCAAACCCTCCAGGGAACCAACCCTCGGGGGTCCATCGCTCCTCTTGAACTCCTCAACCAGTTGAGCTGCCAAAGGAACGTGTTGGGCCCTCTACAAGGAGTGTACCAGCAGTATCCTTCGGCGCTCCTCCCGTCGTTCTGGAGAGGAAGATTCGGCTGCGCTGCTGCCCTCCGGGACTGTAGCAATGCCTGAATCGGATCCGGAAATGACGGCTATGCTTTCCCAGGCCGCCGTGAGGGTAGGGCCCGAGTGGAGACCTCCACCGTGTCCCGAGCCCTCAAGGTTGGACGACTGGTTCTTCGGGGTGGCCCGCGCTGGTTCTCGGCGCCCCGCCCCGGTGCCATTCTTCCCAGAGGTGCATGAGGGGTTTACCAGGTCATGGATGGCACCTTTTTCTGCTGGAAATCGACCTGCTAACTCCTCCTCCCTCACCACTCTCGACGGTGGTTCAGCTAGGAGGTATACGGGGGTCCCCCTCCTGGTGGAGCGGTCGGTTGCGATGCAGTTGTGTCTTAATACCTCCTCCACCCAGCCGGGCAAACTGTGCCTCCCCTCCCGGGTCTGTAGGTACTCATCTGATCTGTCTTGCGATGCTTATACGATCTGTGGAGAAGCTGCCTCCGCCTTACATGCTACTGCATTACTGCAGGTTCTTCAGGCTAAAGCTAGGCCTGTCGCAATAATCAATATATCGACTTATTGCACAATATATGTACATGACCTCAATCATTTTTGGTGACGCAAATATATCGCCAATTATATTTACTTAAAAATGAATGTCACCATGTTTTGTACATTCCACTTGCGCCTGTGTCTTTTGCAGCTTCTTGTACATAACGTGGTGTAGTCATGAGGTGCTAGTTCAAATTTAAAAAATGCTTCTACAAAAAAAGTTTCATCTGCAGATATGGTCTTGTTTAGGGATCTGCTAAGTAGTGATTGTGTTTCAGCAGTAGTGTATTTCAGCAGTAGCATTATTTTAGTCATTCCCGCAGGTTTTGCGCTTACACCAAAAGCGCGCGCACCATCACTGATCTATATTAGTGGATCGCACAATCCGAGCTTGTGAGCCACAAATACCAAAATGAGTGGCTAACTGTGTTAAAACGTTCAAATACATACAAAATTATGTCAAAATGCCCGTCTTGATAAAGAAATTAAAGTAATCAAATGTAAAATAACACTGGATGTGTTGCAATTTTTTTATTTGTTATTTTATTACTGACTTTTTACTTGTGTTTTTTTTTATGAAAATAAAACTTTGCGTTGAAGAAAAGTAGATTTTTGTTTTTATATGCTGTCAATTATAGTTCTTAGAAAGAAAATCGGAATCGGTAAAAATCGGTATCACCTCTGGCTGTGTCTGGTCGACATGGGGGATGCCGACAAAGTTTGGTTCTTCAAGGTCCCTGGGTCCCAGACCGGCCTCTTCGGTGACGCAGTCGAGAACATGGCCCAGCAGTTCTCGACTGCACAGGAGCAGACTGAGGCAAGTCCTCCCCCGTGTCGGCGGGCAGCTGCTGCCTCCACCCGGCCGCAGCGCCCCAGCCTGCTCGTCGCCGAGGGTGGCCCCCTGCGTCCGCCCCCGCGCCGCATCCGCAGCAGCCTCGAGCAAACGCCACCGTGGAGCTGGGCGTAGGCAGGCCGCCCCGCCCGTCCAGGCCCCCGTCAATCCTGGCAAGAGGCCCCGGGACGGGTGACCCAGAGAGAGAAGGAACTGCTCTTCGGGGGATGGTGAATGCACCATTCCCTCCCCCAGAGGAGGGCTGGGTGGAGAATCTTGTTTCCAAAAATCTCGACAGAAGAGCAGTTTTCTCTGTCTCTGGGTCCCAAGAGGGCATGGAGAGTCGCGGACGGACCAACACCGGACCACACCCATCCTCCTCTCTCGCCAGCAGGAGAGCATCATCAAAGGCCCTACTCACGCACCCTCTGCCAAACCGTGGAACCAGGTAAGCAATGCACCGCACACTCAGTGCCCTCTTCGGTCCACCCACGGACCGGGTCCCTGCGTTCCACCTCGCTGCCCCACCGCAGGTACATCAGTGGTTCCACTGGTCCTGCTTGCACAGTATCTGGGTGCCTGGCTAATGCTATCAGGCCCATCTTGCTGGCTCCTGCGGACCATCAGACTCGGCTATGTGGTTCAGTTTGCCCGGTGTCCCCCCAAGTTCAGTGGCATCCGCTTCACATTAGTGAAGGCGGCCGATGCTCCTGTCTTACATCTTATCATACTGGCGAAGCATGCGATAGAGCTGGTGCCTCCAGCCGATATGAAGACGGGGTTACAGCCCCTACTTCATTGTACCCAAGAAAGGCGGTGGGTTATGACCGATCTTGGACCTGCGTGTCTTGAGCCGGGCCCTTCACCGGTTACCGTTCAAGATGTTGACGCAGAAACGCATCTTCGGGTGCATCCGTCCCCGAGATTGGTTTGCAGTGATCGACCTGAAGGATGCGTACTTTCATGTGTCGATCCTTCCGCGCCATGGACCATTTCTGCAGTTTGTGCATATCAGTACAAGGTCCTGCCCTTCGGGCTGTCCCTGTCGCCCCGTGTCTTCACGAAATTTGCGAAGGCAGCCCTTGTTCCCCTGAAAGAGCAGGGCATTCGCGTTCTCTACTACCTCGACGACTGGCTTATACTAGCTCAGTCTTGGGATCAGTTGTGCGAACAGAGACTTGGTGCTCTCGCACCTCAGCCGGTTGGACCTTCGGGTCAACTGGGAAAAGGGCAAACTCTCCCTGACGCAGAGGATCTCTTTTCTCAGTGTGGAGTTGGATTTGGTCAAACAGACAGCACGCCTCACGCAGGAACATGCTCAGTCGGTGTTGAACTGCCTGAATATGTTTAAGAGCAGGATGACAGTCCCACTGAAACAGTTTCGGAGGCTCCTTGGGCATATGGCAGCTGCAGCGGCAGTCAACACTGGCTCCATGGCCGAGTCCCAAGGTGGGCGTGGCAACACGGCACTCACTGGGTCCAAGTCACACTGGCCTGCCGCCAAACCTTCACCCCGTGGTCAGACCTTGCGTTTCACCGGGCAGGAGTGCCCCTAGAGCAGGTCTCCAGGCATGCTGTGGTTCACACGGATGCCTCTACCACCGGCTGGGGGGCCACTTATGACGGGCTTGCAGTGTCGGGGGTATGAACGGGACCCCAACTGCACTGGCACATCAACTGCCTAGAGTTGTTAGCAGTATGCCTTGCCTTGAACCGTCTCAGAGGGTGCTTATTTGGGTGATCCAAATATCATCTTGCGCTTCAGTGAAAGAACATCTGTCCGTCTGAACAAAGAGTCACATGATCAATGACGCTCATTTACTCCCGTTTGATTAGTCACATAGAAACAGAGCACAATCTGCTTTTACATTATATCTTCATATTTAGATCCTAAAACATTTATTTATAGGTTTAAATGAAGACCCAAATATTTGAGATGTTCACAGTGCTCTCATACTGTACGTTTGATCTCCTATAGCGCCACTGTAATATTAATATATAGTGCTTTGACCTAGAATGCAGCGTGACGGCAGTGATCCGCCTGAGCGGCTGCGCAGTAATGTGTGCTGGAATGCAGACGCTCCCGCTGTGCTCCGACGGCCCCGAGAAATAACAACAATAGTCAGAGACGCTCCACGCTCACTCCCATTATTTGTGTTGCAGATCAGACCTCCAACGACTCATGCCGGACGCCTTCCTTTCACGTTTACATTAAACCACTTCTGTGTTTGAAGGTGTGAGATGTTCAGTGTGGAATGCCACAATACAAAAATATTTGTATATGCCATGTTTTATTACTTTATATATTAAGCAATATGAAAAAAGCAGGAGTGTCTGTGTGATATTGCTTAATGAATCTGGCAGGTTTGTATTTATTTGTAAGCATCAAACATATCCATATCCTTTATTTTATTTTATTTTATTATTTTTTGTAGTGTGTGTTGTTAAATTATTGAAATATCAATTTAAAATCCCATGGGGAATTCATGTAAACATTTTAGTTCAAAGGCATTTGGCCGACAAAAAGTTTGGGAAATCCTTGATTAAAGAACCAGAACTAAATCTTTGCAGTAAAAAGCACTGGAGAAATCACATGAAAAGCAGGGTTATTGTAGTCTAAATAACTAAAACTGAAGCTATAACCATAAAAAAAAATTATATACAGTATACTAATAATTATTACAATTAATAGCAGTAATTGTCACTGCTAATAATTATTAACATCAGAGGACCTTCTGAATGTGTCATGAAATTATTGATATATTAAGACATACAAAACTGCCAAAAAAAAGTTTGGGAATCCTTGAATTACATCATAAAAATGTAAAATTAACGTAAATGGACCATGGACATGCAAATGCATTGCTAAATTATTGAAATATTAACTTAAAATCTCAAGAGTACTTCAAGTAATTTTTTTGAATATTACGATTTTATTTTATTTTATATTTATTTGTATTTTATGTTCCCCTGGGATTTTAAGTTAACATTTCAATAATGAGGCTAAATAAATAAATACATAAATAAATATTAACAATTAACAATTATTTTATTTTATTTTAGATTATTTTATTCAATTTTACTTTGCATTTATTTTGAAATTAAGCCAAAATAAAACATATTTTCATTAGTATTTATTTAATCTCACCTTTATTTTTTGTGTTGTGAAAACATTTAAATATTAACTTAAAACCCCCAGGTTGACTTGATGTAAATATTTTAGTTTCAAAGGCATTTGGTCTTTGTGAAATCCTGGATTAGAGAAGCAGAGGTAAATATGCGTCTCTTTCTCTCTCAGAGTCGGATTCTCAGGCGTTCGGCGTGCCGCTCTCGCAGGTGATTGTGAACGACCGGCGTCACAAGCAGCTGCAGGAGGAGCAGGAGGAGCAGCGGAGTCCATCAGACCGAGTCTCTTCACTCCTGCACCTGATGGGCCGCAGATCCACCAACAAGGAGCTTTCCAGCAGTAACTCGTCCCTCAGCTCGTCCTCCGAGACACCCAATGAAGGCACGACCCCCAGCACACCGGAAACGGCGCTGCGCTCGCGCAGACGGGTAGAGTATCGCTTCAACCCATACTGCTGCTTTTGGTAACACTTTACAGTGAGGTCCCATTTGTTACGTAGTTAATGCATAACTAACATTAACTAACAATGAGCAATGCATCTGTTACTGTATATAATTATAGTCTATAATTATATTATATAATTAATACAACTATTCATCATTAGTTCATGTTAGCTCAAGTGCATAAAATAATATTTACACAAGTAAATGTTGAAATGATCATTAAAGTGCCCCTATTATGGATTTTTGAAAATTACCTTTCATATTGCCCGCCCACTTGTTGCGCAGCAGACCCGGAAAACTTTGTCTGAATGCAAATGCAAATTCATTCTTTGCCACTAGGTGCCGCTTTTGGAGCGGTAAAAATAGCAATTTCCCGGTAACGCTGTACACAAAGCAGCACTGCGCTCACAAACATTGCTTTATCAGGCATTACAGGCGAGATGAAATGGAAATGAAATCGACCAATCAGACCAATCACTGCAGATTAGCATCACGCAAAGGATGGGTTTGGAAAAATGAATCGTTGAGCGAATCGTTTGGGAGTCATTGAGCAAATAAGGTAAAAATAAATGCATATTATAAGACAATGAAAGCAACCTTGCAAGCATGTCAACCTGTTATTGGGGACTCCCAAAACCTAAATATGAACCTTTCATAAACCATTATAGGGGCAACTTAATGAATATATGCTTTAGAAGTGTTTTTATTGTTAGTTCATGTTGACGAATAGAACCAATAGAATTGTAGAGCATTATCATGTTTAAATATCTGATAACCGATATGCAGAAAAAAGGTTTTTGACACAATAAAAAATTAATAATCATTAATAATAATCATTAAAACATTTTTGACAATAATAAATTAATAATCGATCATAATGATAATCATTAAATCGTTTTTGACACAATAATAAATGTATAATTATTAATAATGATTGTTAAAACGTTTTTTATACAAGAATAAATTAATAACCAATACTAATAATCATTAAAACGTTTTTTGAGACAATAATAAATTAATAATCTTTAATAATAATCATTAAAACGTTTTATACAAATGTTTTATAAATTAATAATAATTAATAATAAGTTTTTTTCACACAACAATTAATATAATAATCATTAATAGGTTTATTGACTAATAAATTAATAATCATTAATAATAATCATTAAAATGTTTTTTGATACAATAATACATTTATGATCATTATTATTATTATTCATTTGTCCATTTACTTATTTATTCTGCTATATTTACACAAAACGTATTTTATTTCAGCTGGTTGATGAGGCACCTTTTCTCTTTATCGTTTAAAGTTGAAGCACTAAAATAACTAAAACTAATAAATAAAAATTTAAAAAATACTATATAGACATTTACAAATGACTAAAATATGCAACAAAATATATAAAACCTACTAAAAATTAAAGTGAAAACAGAAAATAATTTAAATTATTAACAAATACTTTAACAGTATGTCAATAATACTAAAATAACACATTTCTCACATGAGCTTGAAACTTTTAGTTACTTTCCTGTGTAAACTGTTGTTTAATGCTGTTTGAGACCCAAAAATGGTGTCACTTATCATTAGGCCTCACATTAAAGAATCAATAATTCATTAAGTAGAAATCTGTGAATATCTGTGGGGGG